AGTGAGGTTTTCCTTGTTATTGGAACATAATACCACATCTCAACTTAAAGGAGGAAAAGTTTTTTTGGCTTGAGTTTTAGAAGTTTTGGTCTTCTGTGGCAGGTGGCATGGTACAGGGGCCCTAATGGAGAAGAGCTGCTCACCTCAGGGTAGAAAGGAAGGAGGGAGGGTAATGTTTGAAGTTGGGGATGGACAACCTCACAGTCTAGGGAGCTCCAAGTAGCTGCACATATACCCACATGAGTCTCCAGGGTGATATCCAGCTGTTACCCCCAAATCAAGGCTACAGGTGCTTCTATTGGTATTCAAAGAGAAAGTAAATCTTTTCCTACTTCTTTAATGAGAAGCCAAGAAACAGGTAAGGTATCAGAGTGGGGACCCACCTAAAAGGATTAAAGCAAGAGTGTTGGGGGACAGGGGGAAAATTACGTATAGTTTGGAAGGTTTTATTTTTTGGTTGAGTTCATTTTGCATAATATTACCTAAAATACATTATCCAAATTCTGATAGCAAGACAGAATTCAATAAATTAAATGTATGGATTACTTTTTCTTCTAACTAATGACACAATTTGTTTTTTAAAAATAGCATGCATTTGGCATATGCCATTTATTATGTTTTCTAGGAAACAATTCATAAACATGTTATGCTTGGTGTGTAGGTTTTGGCAAATGTTTCCTTCTGAGTCCTATTAGCAAAGTGACAAAAAATACAGATAATATCAATGTATTTATTTCAAGAAACCAACCAATAGCAAGTGCTGGTGGGACTGTAGGGAAAAAATGGAACCTTTCTCGGTTGTTGATGGAAGTATAGACTGGTACAACCACTGTGGAAATCATTGTTGAGATTCTTCAGAAAGCTAGGATTGGAGGACCTGTTAAACCCAGTTATGTCCCTTCTTGGGTATGGAAGAATTAAAAAGATCATACCACAGTGATATATGTTCAACAATGTTTATAGCAGCACGGTTTGTAATAGCTAAATCTTGGGAACAACTCATCAGTTGCATAATGGATAAAAAGGTGTAACGTTTTATTCAATGGAGTACTACTCAGCTATAAAGAAGGGTAAACTCAAGGCTTTTATAGGTAAATGGATGCAACTTGAGATCATAAACATTAGTGAAATAAATCAAAGTCACATGTGTAGTCAACATATTATCTCCCTGGTGTGAGAAGCTGAAATAGTAAATAAGATCAGAAATGTACAATACATATTATAAAATGAGAAGAAACTGTCCAAAAGGAAAGAAAAACTAAAAAGAAGAAAGAAGAAAGGAAAAATATGTATGCAAGACAGTTGAGATAACTGGTGCTACTATTTCTGTTAGTTCATTGAAAAGACAGGTTTGTGCTTATATTGTTTGTTCGTCTTTCATCCCTATCTGTTGTACTTTAAACACCTACTTTGAAGATAACAATATGTGATGTAGCAACTATTATTACTCTATTGTGGTTTGAAATTTTGCATTCTTATATTTGTTGTTTTTTCTTTTAAGATAATAAAAATTAATGGATTTAAATTCACCTTAATTTACCATCCCCTTGCTGCTTTGGACTTCTCCCATATAGTATCTTTCTACCAGAGTCTGCTTCATCTATTTTTCATGAAAGCGTGTAATTCGTTTCTGTAGTCTGAGGGCTACTAATCAGGGCATAGACACTAAAATAGAAATGGTGACGTAAATGTGACCTGCCTTTGAACACTGGTGTCTGCCACTAGCACAGGGCTGGGAAGGGGGATGGTGTCCATCTCAGAGTGAAAGGGGCGACTTCCAAGCCCACACCCCTTTATTCGCATGCTTCTTCCTGGAATTACAGCCATCCCCATGATACAGTGCAAATGGCTGTAGTAAGTTCTGCGCTGGGTTTTGTACTGAGCAAAGTCAGCACGTAGGGACACTCAGGTCCATCCCTCGCCCTGTCAGATAAGCAGCCCTCCCATCTGAATGCTGGTGATGGTATATTGAAAATTGGGTTTGGGAAACCATGGTATTCATGCAGTGGTCACTTGTCTTGAGGACCTGAATGAGTGAGGGATGCAGGAATAGAAGCTGTGGTGAAAAGGCTTGGGTGAATCAGGCAGAAAATTAACACTCGGAAATCTGAGTATTACTCGGTGATAAACATGTCAGCATGGGGTTAAACTCAGAACAGAGTTATATGATGGAGTCATTTGACAGTTCTCAAAAGGACTGGGACTATATTGTACATATTTTTAGAAATATTTTACTTGAAAATGTCTCAAGGTTTGCAAAGGCTTCCTCTCAGACTGCATGGAAGTTTTTGCATGCTGGGTAATGTAATGGGGAGCTGATAAATACTGCCTCCCAGATCAACTTCACCTCACTAAGACCCAGGGAATGGGTAAAACTCGAGAAAGTGTTACAACCCAAGACTATTTAACATGGCCACGAAGTCTAGACTGAGAATTCTCTCTCGGGGTTCTGTGATTCTAGTTTGTGGTACACAGAGTGATCATATCTTTACATTTTCACATCTTCACTAAGAAATCTTCATCTGGAAATAGTCTGTGCTGTGCCTATTTTGAATTTATTCGGATGCTCACCATGAGCTTTAGAATCGTCCCTGCATCTCCTGGAGCCCTGCCGGAGCAGATGCCCCGGGGTCTTGGGGCTAGGGCTTCTTAGTCCCAAGCAGGGACTAAGTCCCTGCATGCAGGGCTCAAAGTCCGAGGCTCCCAGGGACCTGTCCTGAGGATCACAGGCAGGTGCTGAGGACGAAGTAAGTCCTGTGCACAGAACCCACATGGACACTGCAAGTAGCTGGGGTTAGGCAGCAAAGAAAGCACAGAGGGGAGGCTGCCCGAGGCAGAGGGGACAGAAGGCCAACAGCAGCATGTTACCTTTCCTTTTTCACTTCCCTCTCTGCCGGCTCTCGTAAGACAGGATTGCAACTTCAGTTTAATGTCTGCCTGTCTCCACCTTGCAGCCATATGGGCTTCCAGAATGACATTTTCCTGACAGACGGGGAGGTGTTTTACACAGGACTGAGTCTGTGAACCCTCTGCTAGCCAGCGTTGTACCAAGAAGTAGAGTCCTTGCTAGCCATGGAGACTGAACCCTGGGGATGCTGACCATCTTGGCCTTGGCTTAAGAGAACCACAGAGCATCCTCTTGTGTACTGAGACAGAACCATTCTGTGTGTCCTTACAGACTCAGCACTAGACCCGAAGTCCTAAGGGTCCATGACAGCTCCCATGGGGGACTGACCAAGTCCAGACCCAGCTAACATACTAGGTAGGAAAGAGCAGGAAACTGCTGGCCTTCTCAACGTCTCTCTCATTTTCATTTTCTAATTTATAGACAGCCACGGTCACTTATGCAGAGTGAAAGACAAAAATAGAACTGGGGCCAGGTGCTGGGTCCAATATGCAGTATTTACACTGATTCCAGCAGCACTCAACCCCTTACACCTGTTTCCAGGCAGGATGCTTGGATAATGTATTCCTGCAAGCACTGCCACTGGAAATGCCAGTTTTTATAAATAGATTATGGTTATACCACTCACTTTAGTAAGAATTTCAAATAGCAAAACTAATGTATTCCTTTTTAGCACTGGTTAGGAAGTCACCTGTTCAGAGCCCATGTAATGAGCACTATAAATTGTGGATTCGATTCGGGGGAAGACTTTCCTGAACACCACCAAACCGTCCCTTCCAAGTTGAAGACACTTGCAAGTTTGATAACTCTCCATAAGATTGCAGCATTTGGGCCTCACTCAGAAATAGCTCCCAGAAGTGAGTTTTCCAGCATGGGCTCTTGTCCTTCGTGTTACTTTCCTCCTCCACCTACTCATGTCTCAAACTGCCTCAGCCGTCTGTCTGTCCTTCTATCACTCATCGACACATCCACCTGGCCTGTGCATTACCTACTGTTCATGCGTCCATCCAGTCATTGCATTACCTACTATCCGCATATCACCACTGCAGTGACATTACCTACTGTTCTCTTCTGTCATTTATCAATCCCTGTCATCTATCAAACTGTCATTTATCAATCCATCCAACATCTGTCTGTTGACCCTCTACCTATTTACCTATTTATCTATTTATCAAACATGATCTCTCTGTCTCCTTGCTTCTCAGGGTTCTAGCCTACCTTCAAGAGTTTTGACTCTCTTTATCCATTGACAACAATATTTAGCAAAAGAGGAAATTTTTTATGAGAAAATATTTTATTCTCTACAAAGAGAAATTCTCATTCATAATATATTGGATGTCAAGAACTAATCTTGTCTAGAGGCTTCAGTGTGGATCATCATGACAGTGTTATACGTATTGAAGGGGCCTAAAGGTAATTTAGTGGAAGAGGAATTGCTTGGCAAGTTCAAGACCTCGAGTTAGAGACGCTTTGTGGCAGAAAGAAGGAAGAAAGGAAGGAAAGATAGACAGAAAGAATGAACAAACGCGCATGGCTTTGTAAACATAATGTTGGAAGGGAAACTTTATCCTCAGAAATTCTGTTTCAAAATTAATAGGGATAATTACATGAGATCTGTACAAAGAACTTTAAAAGTATTTATTGGGTACCCGCTTGGCAAGTGTGAAGCCATGAGTTCAATTCTGGTGATCAAAAAAATAAAGTCTTTACTGTGAGAATGTCCTGGTTATCTTTAGATTATAACTTTTTCACTCTAATTAACATTTCTTTTGATTATATAATGTCACCTTTTATTTAATCCAAATAACTTAAATGTGAAAAAATGATTACACTAAAGTATACGCATTTTAATTTCATTTTAGATGTGATAACAAAATAATTTACAAAGAATAGTAATTTTGACATCCTCACAGCTCTGTTAAGTAAGGACTCTAATATGTAATGTAATTATCAATGTAGTTCATCAAAGCAGTCGAATGGCCACTGAAATTCATTGTAACCAGGAGAGAAATTTAACGCTACAGTGGACATTTGCATGGCTAACAGTCATGGGGGTCCCCAAGATGCCAAGTAAACTCCTGTGCTTCTCATTCAGGTCATCAAGCTTGCCTTTGAAGAGTTTGAGTTGGAAAGGGGGTACGACACGCTAACCGTGGGCGATGCCGGGAAAGTGGGGGACACGAGATCCGTTCTGTATGTGTAAGTATGTTGCTACGCTTTCCTTTCAACATGAGGTCCCACCTCAGACTCTTAAAAAGCACTATATCTGGCTGCTCTACTGGCTTCCATTCTGATCATGCATGAGAACTTTGTGTTTTATCAGCATTAACTGTTTTTTCCTCAAAACATTAAAAAACTTGTTTGTAGCCCAAAGTTACCAAGTAGACCTCACAGAAGATGAACAGGAATGGCAGAGTCTCAGCTCAGTGCCTGATTTGGTCTGGTCTGCTTCTCCATACTTTCACGCTCTCCTGTGCTTTGAGAATTGGGACTGATCTCTGGAATAATGCTCAGTGTTTTCCAGAAACATGTGCTCCAGAAAGCTGGGGGGGGGTCAAAGAAGCAGTGTGTGGAGAGGTGGTGTTGGGTAACTCACCCCGAATCTCCAACACATAGCACCTGTGGTCTCAGCCCAAGCCTTCACCCTGGGATGGAGCCACACTTTCCCCCCACTCACCTGGCCTGGCCCCTGGCTACTTCCTCACAGCTCCCGGGTATGGAAACTTTTACAGGATTCTGTCTTTTACCAGAACAGTTCTATGAAACTAGAAACAGAACTTGGGGTCTCCCTTGCTCATTTGGCCAGTGTTTCATCACTAAGGGAATAAGAATTAGCAGCAGCAGCACTTATTTGGTGAGCACTGGGGAGGCAGGACCTTCACACTTTCTCGCGTTGGAAGAGTAAATTACACACTTTCGGGTACATGTGAAAACCCTTCTTACTGCCCTTGTCTTTTGCATCAGAGTCAAACAGCAGTTGTAAACCCCAGGAAGGTGGAGTCTGTGGTTCATAGCCAGCCTGCTGCAGAATCTGCACTCATTTGGCTGATGTATTGCTGAGTATGTCTTTATCTGTGAGGAGTTTGCCCTTGAAAATATTAATATAGCACTGCCCAGAGAAGTAGCCCCATGGTGCCCAGCTTTTCCTTCATTCCTGGATTGCTCATGAGACCGCTCACATTCTGAAGAGGCACTGCTTGAGCCCTGTGTCCATGCCTATAGAAGTAAAGGGCCACACCAAGCCATGCGGGCTTCCCTGCCTGGTGCTCGTGATCATCCTGAGCATTCCTGGTCAGCAGCACCCAGAGCCCTGCAGCAATGCACTCAGCCTTGGCCAGTGGCTGAAGCTCCACAGTCGCAGCCTACTGGACAGGATGCTGGAGAGGCATCCACTTGAGGGCGCAGTACTCAGGGTCCTTACCTACAGAGGTGCCATGTCCTTGACTGATTCTCAGGGGTGTCCTGGCTTCACTCCCAACCCACACTTCTCTCTGGTTTTATATTCAGCTAAGTGGTGCAGGGTTTTCATGCATACACTGCTGTAGTTCAATCCATTTGTCTCCAGGAAGATTTCCAAGGGAAGAGCTGCAGGGTGAGGGATGTCTTCAGTCACAAGGCTGCGCTTTTCACGTGTTCCTGGAAAGGTTGCATAATTTACTCCTCCAAGGCAGGGAAACGTGAAGGTCCCTGCCTCCCCCAGTGCTCAACAAATAAATGCTGCTGCTAATTCTTCTTATTTCCTTAAATTATCAAATGAAACTTGCATTTCTTTGCCTTTAAAAATGCAGAGTCCTAGACAAGGACAAAAGTATTACTGGCCAGCTCCTCCCAGGCTGTGCTGCCAGCCCTTAGTCAGGGACCAAGTCCAGGATCTGAGACAGTGAATAGAAAAGGCAGGCCTCAGAGATGGAGGTTGTGGATGCATTGTGGCTCTTCACTGTCCCTGTGACCATGAGGGGAGACAGTTCCTCCCTGTACCTCTCTTTTGAGGGCTATAATGTATGCATGACACTTTTTTTTTTGCCAGTGGTCAGGAGAAAAATGAAATAATACATGTATCTAGAGAGCTAATAAGTTTCATCTTCATGCTAACAAACCTTTGTTATCACCATAGCACGTAATTTAGGGAAGCATGTCATGAAAGTAAATGAGAGAAATGTTTAAATGAATGGAAAATTTAAAATACACGTGCAGTAAGGTAATGCTCTACATCACCACTTCAGTTGCTATTAAGGGCTTAAAATCACCTACTAACTTTTAAATACTATGTTGTTAGGAAAGCAGTGACAAGCTATGAGTTTCAGTGACATCAGTGTTATTAGGAGCTCTTCCCAATAGCTGGAATCTATAAAGGAAGAGTTGAATGGCCAACTGAATCAAACTGAGGTGTCCTTCGGGAGGCATAATGCAATAGAGACCAGCCTGGCATCTCATCAGCTGCAGGGGAGCTACCAGAGCCGCTATCTTATGTCCCCGTGTCCCGAATTAGAGGCAAGGAAGAGAGCCAGAGACTCCCTGGGGGTTTCCTGAGCAAATGGGTAATTTTAGACAATACACTAACAAGCATTTCTGAGGACTTTTGTGCCAGGCATCATTCTCAGCATGGAGTTTTACTCTAATTGGAGAAATGGCACATGTGCCTGCATCGGTTACAGTCGGCAGTACACAGTTGTGGAAGCTCGGGACACTTTTCTAACAAAACGGGCATGAAGCCTCTTCACAGCAGATGTGTTTCCTGCTCTGGCTCAGTAGCTCTTCAGTCTGTGGCAGGTGGACCTTCGCCATTCTAGCCTGATCCTGATGATTAAAGATACATTTGGGAAGGAGATAGCATAAAAAATGAGGTAGTTAATCCCACAATTTAAAATTTCAAGTCCTGTGGTTTTCTAATCTCTGTTAATGGCTTTTATTTTTCTCTACTTATGCATACACACAGGTGCACACCATGTGTACACATTCAGGTTCCTTCAGGACCCAGCCCCCCCCCCAGGGGAATGTTGCATTTGCTTAGATAACTTTTTCAGACTCAAAGGAAAATTAAATTAAATAAGTTAGTTAACAAATCTCCATTGACTGCTTTTTAAAAGTATATATTGACTATTTTCTCTAATCTAATTTGTAGAACCGTGGTGGAGGGTGGGATACAGCCTTGGGCCCAGCTCCCCTCTGGCCCCAGCTCCTGATTACCTGGCAGAACCAGAGGTTCTGCTCCCTGGGGCAATCCTGAGGAGGGGACAGGCAGACAAGGACGGGCTTGGTGTGTGCCCAGATGGGCTTGGTGTGTGCCCCAGAGCTAGTACCCCAAGAAGTCTGCTCATGGGCATGCTGCCAGGCAGAATGGGAATGGTCAGGAGCGCCTTCCTCCTGGGGCTGGTGGAACCCCATGGGCACCAACTCTCCTCTGCCCCAGACCTGCATGCTGGGGATGGCTCTGCCCTCTGTTGCTGTATTCTGGTCCAGAGCCACAGGTCACCACTCTCTCCTCAGCAGGAGGGTGCTGCGGGGAGCCTCTTCTGTTTGTGTTCCCCTGAGCCCAGCCCTGAAGCCGGTGCTTTGTAGCAGTCTACATTAGGAAGTAAGGCAGAGGAGTCCACCTCCTTGCTCCAGAGGAAACATCTCTGCTTTTAAATAGAGATCATATTAGGGTTCCAAGCCTCAGAACTGGGGGGCCACATGAGTCAAACTCTGTTTCTTTCCTCCCCCATTCTTTCCGTGGCTTAGCATGGTGAATCCGCATCTCCCAGCCAGGACAGATCCTGCCCAAGACAGACAGCACTGAGGGTCAAACATTGCTATGTTTTCTGGCCTTTTATTGGAAAGTATCTTTGCTCAAGTCTTGGGGACAAGTTTTATTGAATAGCAAATATTAAGGTAGAGCTCAGAAGGGGAAAAAAAAAAGAATAAACAGTGGCCCTTGTCTTGAGGAGTGATTAGATCACTGAAGCATCTAATTGGTGCTAAAAGTATAAAATATGAATAGTCATAGTAACAATACAGTTTTCCATTTCATATTGTACCTTATGTTATAGAAGCATATTGCATTTTGTGACACTTTATCTTTATTGATTTTAGTCTTCAATGTAAGATGTCACAAGTATCTTACATGCTTCTCAATATTTATTCAGTTTGGTTTTAGGAAAAATGTCACCTCTTCTAAGTGTATTTTGGCTGTTTGTGGGATTTATTTTAACTCTTCTGTACCTACAAAGTAATTTCTTCATAAATATACATCTCTAATAAGATAGGAACAAGTGGTAAATAGCATCAAAATGTGTGATCTTTCATTAAAAAGCTGTCAGATAATTATAAGTGAAGCTTGAAGAGTGGGTTGCAGATTTTCACATCTGCACAGAATTCACAATATCTTCAAGGAGATCATGTGAACACTTGGCAGCATTGATGAGCTGGCAAAACACTTCCAGCCTGGTCATGGGTAGTTTTTACCCTAAGAAGTCCCCTATGCCGCGTGCTTACGGTTAGGGTAGGGTTTCGCCAGTCCAGGTATGCAATGTGTAGCGATGTCACTGTCACAGGGATTACACCCTGTGACACCCTGGTTCTTATTTTCTGCCCCCTTCCTTCCTACCCTTTCTTGCTCCCTCCAGCTTCTTCCCCTTGGGCTGATGAAAGCTGGGTTTCCTTTTACTTCACTGCAGATGTGGCAAGACAATTCCTCTGTGGTAACGTCTGGAAAACATGAAGCACGAGACATTGGCCCACTGTGTCTTCCTGCTCTCTTGAGGGTGTGCAGTAGCCACTCAGCTGTGGCCATTTCTGCCTGGTGTCTGAAGTCCTATGGGGACGAGCCCTAGGTGGCGCCATCTGCCTGCTCCTGACTGTTGACACCACACCAAGCACCAAGCACCTGTCTGGTGCTGCCTTGCTATCTGTCCATCCTATGTGGTAATTAGATGTGTTACATGTCCAGATTGAGAGCTCTCCATGTATTCAAGCTGAGGTTTACCACCTTCCCTCAGTGTGGTTTTGCTTCCTTTTGCCTTTCTTCCTCTCCACACGTGGGAAGGTGCTGTTGATTGTAGCGCTCTGGGGAGGGGATGCCACAGCCTGGGGTTTCAGGCGAGTTTAAAGACGCTGCATCACCTTAGAGCTGGAGAGCTCCTGCTTTGTGTTGTAACAGTTTTATAGTTTCCCTCCACCATGAAGGCTGCTACGAATGTCCAGTTAGTGGTGGATGACGT